GAATAATTAATAGGAATAGTCTTATTGTTAGATTATTACTACTTGTCTATCATAATATGAAATAATGTACTTTAAGTTGGAAAAAAAATCAAGTAACACATTAATTTTCAAAAATAACTTAAATGCATCCAAATGACTTTTACAATCGCTCACAAAAATGTAATTAAATACTACAGCAAATTTCATAATTTCATAAATTATCATAAAGCAGTACACGTTAAAATATGGATTAATATGATGTTAATTTATAATAAGTTAATTTATAATTGATCAAATTTTGAGAAATTTTAGAGTATTCACAATTTTTACATATTGGAATCATAACTTCGAAATATTTTCTGGTGCTTATTTCTAGATATATGCTTGTCATAATTTTGTAAAGGCATTTTTCAAATGATAATAGTTTAGACCTAAAAATATCATTTTGTTTAAGATCAGACTTCTAAATCACTTTACTCAACTCATCTTTTGTACAAGTATTTTTTGAGAACATTTTGTTCGACGTTAAAGCATGTTCTGACAAAATATTGTCTGGAGTTTGATTTTAGAGAAGTGTGTCACAATTTTTTAAGTATTAATATTTATATTATCCAAAAACACAATTTCCTTATCTTCCATACCCTAAAATCCCTTCATTTCCCACAAAACAGTGTAATTCTGAATCCATTCCTGAATCTACCTCGGTTTCGCGTATATTCAATTGCTACGTGCATGGAATGCATCGCAATGTGATTTATGAAATTTGTAATGTATTCAAAATAAAACACACACATTCGACCACTGTTTTTGATATAACTAAAAGGTAGAAATATACTTGTACACATAGACATACACATCGAATGGATGTTGCGGAATTTCATTTGTTTGAACACTGGTTTTTATGTAGATCTGCGGCGGCGAAATTTGAATTTCATATATTGTTTATGGACGATGGTGGTGATAAATTTTAAGGGATTTTGATTATTTGGTAATTGAAAAATAAAATGCGGTTTGCGGATATTGAAAATGTATAGAGGAGTTTTTTCATAAACGAAAGTTATTAAACAATATTATGGTTTGTTACGAATTATTAACTTCTCGAAGACGAAGTGATTTTCCAAGTTTGTTTTTTCTATTCTAAAACGTTTGGCATCCAAATTGGCAAAATTATGTGTGTTTATCTGTATGTTAAGTATCCTAGAACTAGTAGATTCAACAATCTCACCCTTATCCTGTTCGACAAGTAATAACAGATAATCAGATCGCTTATTACTACCATATCAATCCCTTGCTCTTCCCTTATTTCCTCGCCCTGTATCAATATCGGGGTATATTTATTGGTATTGATAAAATTATCCCCGATATATCTGGTAATAAATCCAGAAAGATATCGTTTCGTTATTGTCCCTTCACTCTCGTTTGATAACTTCATTTATTTACGAGGACATCAAACGAAATAAATTCGAACGGCTAAGGCAATCAGGGAAACCAAAGCGAAATTCGTCAAAATAGATTTTAAAGCTGGATAATGGAAAAGATATAAAATGGATTTGGAATGGAGTTTCTTATAAAATTTTAGCTTCTTAGAAAATTAATTAAAAAAGTATTTCAGGACTTCACCTATAGTTGGAGCTAGGGAATGCAATACCGGTATACCGAATTACCGGTAAACCGCCCGATTTTTTGGCGGTATTTTTACCGGTAATTTTCCTAAAAATACCTGTATTTTCGGTATTTTTACATAAGCGCTATTTGATACATAATACACTAAAGTTTAAATTTCTCGGAACAAATTTATCTTTCGATTCCGTAATCGCATAAACAGCTATATCTTCAAGTGATTCTATAAGATAAACAAATGTCAAATATTATCTCAACTCGTCATTAAACTGAATATTTATTGATTTACTAAGGGCTTCATATCGTGTTACAATAAATAGAATTGGACTGATAGATTATGATGTTTGTTTCATCTTTTGTAAAAATGTAACGATTTTTTAAGTGATATTTGCGCCAAAATATTTTATATCATACAGATTACCCCCGCGTAATCTTTATTTTTTTGTCTAACTTTATATATAATAATTATGATAATTACTAAATATTTTTGCTTCTTATTACAATTATAAAATATTATTTTTCGATAACGTTTCGAAGTTTGAAAATACTATAAAAGCATCACATTGTTTTAAATAACAATACTCAACAATTATAGTAACTTATTATTTCGATAAAATACCCGATCTTAAATTATATATTTGTAGAAAAATATATAATTTTAATAATAATATAATATTTTATTAGATAATATTAATAATATAATATTTAAATATAATATATATTTTTTTTAAAAAATATTGGAGATTATGCTAATTTAACACATTGGATACAGACAATACAGTTATTATAATAATGTAATATGATCTTTTATGAGTTTTTGGTCTTTCTTAATCATAAGTTTGTTTTCGTGAAAAGTACTCAATATACTCGATAGTGATAATGAATTAATTAAATTAAATATATTTTTATTAAATTATTATTCAAAAAAATAAACTTATTGTTTTATTTTATTGTTTTTATTGTTTAGTTGAATATGGTTGTAGTTGTATAGACATTTTTTTATATTTGTACTAGTAACTTTCAATTTTGTTTACGTTCGTTTAAGATAATAAAAATACCGGTAATTTACCGATATTCAGGTTTTAAAATGAAAAATTACCGAAATGCTGGTATTGAAATTTTCCATCGGTATTGCATTCCCTAGTTGGAGCTATAGGATTTCAATTAGAAGTTTCAGGTCCAATAAATCCAGCAGTACATTTTGTTTTGAAACTACTTACTCCTTGCAGTATATTTCTGCAAATTTTCATCTTTATCTATTTTAAAGCAGTACCTCTTCCTATGTAGAGTTCATCCACCCTCAGTAGTGCTCCATCTTTTAAATGTGCCATGAGGGTTGTTTTCGATCTGTAAGTATCGCAGGGTAGTTTGTTCAAACGACAAGAGTTTAGGGGAGGAGAGGAGACAACGTGTTCGGTTATGAGAAACTGAACCCTCTATTTCTGTCAAATGCTTTGCAGTCAAATCAAACGCTAATTTTATAGGGGCACATCCGGGGGCGCGGGATTTAAAAAAAGCAGAGTTGAATTGGATAAGTAATAGACTAAAAACAAATATTATTCTTAACTTCCCGTAGGGTAAGTTATAGTAATCACAAAAAAGTCGAAAATGAAAATTTTTATATATATTTATGTTTCAAAGGTTTCTGAATATTTTGGCATACCTTAGAAAAAATGGATGTATGTGTGTGTGTGTGTGTGTGCGGATACAAATTTTTCGTTCCAAAGATACGGGGCAAAAAGGGCAACTCAGTTTTTAAGAGAACGGAGCGTCCGATTTGAATTGATTCAAAAAACATTTTACTTGTATTGACAAGATGAAGATGTTCAAATTTTTGGGCAGGTCCAGCGGTTACGGACTCCCAAATAAAATAAGTTAAAAAAATGTCATTTGGCGGTCCAAAATGTTTATTGGACATATGTAAATCAACTTATCAGATGTTTTATAGAGATTTTAATAATGTGTACACATTTTGTGTAATTTTTGTTTTGGGTTCTGTACCAAGATTTTTAATTACAGTACGGGAAGTTCCAGCTTAAGGCACGATGCCATGCACCCCACTAGTTTTCATTCAAATCTCTAATTTATAAAGATAAAATTTTGGCAGTATCAAAAAGTCGAGTTACAAAATTAAATGACTAAAATCTTGTAGTTTAGATCTTTTTATTTTAAATCTCTAATTTGTAAAAACAAAGTGTGGGCAGTATCAAAAAGGAGCATAAAGTATGAAAATTCTTGTGATGATGTAATAATTAGCAGTAATATTTTTTCAACCGAAAATAGGAAATGTTGAAAGAAAAGTTGTATCCAATCTTATTTCTATGGTATAAAAATTTAGCATATTTAAAAATGTCGTAGAAATTTTTAGGCTTTTGCAAATTTGACATAAAATGCTCACAATTGCCAAATATCTCTACTTCGCCTGTTTTAATAATTCTTTCTTTTTAAAAAGTGGTTTATATAAGATCTCTACAAATCTAATTTTTATAGTAATATTTCAAAATAAACTATACTTATAGTAATAAAATATCACATAACTATTATAATAAGTCGTGATTTATCATTCAGCCCTGAATTAACCTCATAATATCGTATCTTCACTTCGCAGACATTTTAAAGGGCGCAACCATCTCTTTGGTAGTTTGGGTAATCCTCTCATGTTAATGAAGAATGCGGATATATATATATATATATATATATATATATATATATATATATGTATGTGTGTGTGCACAACTGTTCCTTTAACGAATTTTTGCCACGTGTCTACGAGCAGCTTAAAGTCAATCAAAAAGCTAATTCTTTGATGTTTTGGCAGGAGCTTAAAGCTAAGATGAAACTTTTTGTAAACTTCCTAAATTCCCGTGCATCTTACAATATTATAACATATATTAAATTGCTAAATAGTAATAATATGAAAAAAGTTTACATTTAGTTTCATACTTTTGTAATATATGCTTACAATATTATAACATATATTAGATTGCTAAATAGTAATAATATTAAAAAAGTTTACATTTAGTTTCATACTTTTGTAATATATGCTTATTTTAACCAAAGAAGTAAAATTATGTCTGATTCATATAATTAAAGGTTCCTATTAATAAATAATTTTGATACTTATAAATTATAAAATGTGTTTGGTCTGACAATCTATATTTACTACAAATAATATTCCAACTAGCTTAAAACACATTTTACTGAATGAACTGTTTAAAACATCAAGTGAATTGTTGCTCTACTTATTATTATTATTATAAATGAAACAAATAATTCATAATAAATCAGTAGGACCTTTACTCATTTATTATATTTATGAAAAATCTATAGGACCCTTATTTATTTATAAAATTCATGAAAAATCTATAGGACCTTTATTTATTTCTAAATTTTCTTTACAGAGTCGATGTTCCTTATCCAGTGATCAGCAATCAGTAACTCCAACTTCAGATTTGGACGCAGGAGTTTTTGCAGCAGGAGAAACTAGTGACAGTGATTCGCCTGTGCCTCCTGAAAGACCACGGGCTCAAGGACAAAGGTAATAATAATAATTTTATTCCATAATAATTATTTGCCAAATGACAAAACACAATCAAACTCAAGCTCCAAAACAACATAACAAAATGCTACTCGTATTTATTTTTACGTATTATGAATTTTTTTTACCTATTTAACTACCCGTAGGGTAGTTCTAGTAATGGGCCGGAAATCGAAACCGAAAATTTTTGCATTTCTCGACGTTTTGAAGGTTTCTGAACATTTTGGCATACCTCAGAACAAATGGATGTGTGTGTGTGTGTTTTGTATGTCCGCATTTTTTCGTCCACGTTTTAGGGCGCACGTATCAACCGATTTGAATGGTTTAAAAACATTCGATTCCCATTGATAGAAGGATGTGCTGGTTAGTTTTTGGCAAAGGTAGGCCCAGCGGTTCCGGAAATACAGAGCTAAATGTTAAAAAAAATTGCAGTTTTTGAGAGAACTAAGTGTCCGATTTAAATGACTTAAAGAACTTTCTGCTTGTTTCAACAAAATAATTGATTTTGGAAAAAAAAATTTTTGTTTCTTATGTTTTTTTCAAAAATTTTTTTTTGTAATTTTGGATTAAAAATTCAAAAAATCGCCCAAGCTAAGCACAGTCTAAGCGCCACTCTGGTACAAATGTTTACCCAAGTGCGTTTAGACTGTTTATGTATTGGGGCACTTTTCCAATTTTGTGAAAATTATTGAAAAATGTGAAAATGCCGCCAAGCTAAGCACAGTATAAGTGAAAATGTCGCACAGAATTATTTGCAAATGCGTTTAGACTGTGACTATGCGGGAGCACTTTTTCAATTTTGTGGAAATTTGGCAACTATTTTTTTTTTGAAATTTGATTCGAAATGAAATGACGATTGTTAATGTTCTGGAGATGATAAATTGATTTATTTATAATTAACTTTCCGTAGGGTAAGTTATAGTAATCGCACAAAAATCGAAAATGAAAATTTTTATATATCTTTACGTTTCAAAGGTTTCTGAATATATTGGCACACCTTAGAGAAAATTAATGTATGTGTATGTATGTGTGTGTGTGTGCGTGCATTTGTGTGTGTTCAGTACAAATTTTCGTCAACGATTTCGGGAACCGGGATGAAGCAATTTGAATAATTCAAAAAACATTCGATTCGTATAGATAAGGAGACGTGCTGATTAGTTTTTGTCAAAGGCAGGTCCGTTCCGAAGATATGGGGCAAAAGGGGCTAAAAACGGTAACTCAGTTTTTAAGAGAACGGAGCGTCCGATTTGTATAATTCAAAAACATTTTACTTGCATTATCTAGATGAAGATTTGATCAAATTTTCATGAAAATAAGTCTAGCGGTTTCGGAGATCTAGTAAAAAAAGTAAAAAAAAAAATAATATTTGGCGGTCAACAATAATCATTAGACATTAGACATATGCACATCAAATTATCAGATATTTTATAGAGATTTTAACAATAAGTATGAATTTGGTTTACAGTCCTATGGGTTCCGTACCAATGTTTATGCGTTAGACAGCGACGCGGCGCTTACGCGCTTCGATATTTAGTCTCTATGCATTAAAGCAGTACGATTGCTTTGAAAAAAAAGTTCAGAATTTCCAAAATATTTCAAAATAAATTTTTCAACAAAAAGTAAGTTTTTGTCAAAAATTTATATAGTTCCTCAAAAATCTATTTTTTTCAGAGTAATTTTTTTTCAAAAATGTTAATCTTTTCAAAAAAAAATAATTTTTGGTACGGGAAGTTCCAGCAATTTGCCTTAAGGCACGATGCCATGCGCCCCACTAGTTTGAAATTGAATTCGAAATGAAATGACGATTGTTAATGTTGTGGAGATAAATTGATTTATGATTTACATTTGATTTGCTCAGATATAACAAGATGGCAAAAATAATGAAAGTTACAGTATTTGTAATAATATATGTGAAAACGTTTAAAATTTCTCGAATATTTCATTACGGTACGGGAAGTTCCAGCAATTTGCCTTAAGGCACGATGCCATACACCGCTAGTTATCATTTGTCACATCACAATTGAACTCAAGCTCCAAAACATAACAAAATGGTACTCGTATTTATTTTTACCCATTATGAATTTTTTTTAACTATCTTTTATATTTATTTCCAGGCCGCCTCTCGATTTACCTCCAAAACCAGTAGAAAACGACATAGAAACAAAAGATCTACTAAAAACCAACTCGGTGGATCAAAGAAGACCATCCTTAGACGACATTAAAAAAAATCCAGGATGTCGATGGCGACCAAGAGGATGAAGGTTCTTATGGTGCACCCTGTGGATTAGGATTACTTGAGAGATTGCTGAGGTCGCACCCTGTTTGGTTTTTGCCTGGAATCCAGAGAGCTGGTGCTGTGCATTTGTTGCAGGGGAAAGATGAAGGGGTAAGAAGAATTAGACCGATTCTGCCGCATAACAGAAAAATGTTATGGCAAGGCCATGTTATCAAGAACTTTCCATACTAATATTGACAAAAGCCATGGGGTTGCTGTGCAGTCAGGCGAATTTCTCAGTTTGTCTGATAGAAAACATAACCTAGAATGTCAAAAAAGCGATGTTAGATAAGTGTGTTTCTGATACAGCTTCATAACATACGAGTGACGTTGCGTGTAAAACGCCAGATTGCACAGCAAATACATAACATTTTGACAGTATTCAGTATGATTCAGTAGCATAATGTATGGAAGTCGGAGCGTAGCATGGCCTTGCCATAACATTTTTCTGTTGTGCGGCAGAATCAGTCTCTTAATCAGTATATTCATGATGTGTCAATTCTAATCTTTTATCATTATTTTTTTAGAATTTTGTGGTTCGTGGTTCTAGTCAACCCATGACAATGGCTGTCAGTGTGCGACTTCCAGCAGGCAGAGGTCCTTATATTGAACATTATTTAGTAAGGGCTAGTGAAGGTCGTGTTGGCTTGGAAACATCAGCTAATAGGTTTGATTCTATTCCGGAATTGGTTGCTCATTATGCACAATGCTGGTAAGAAAATAATAATAATTAAATCTTGAAAACGCAACCCAAAGTTTTATTTCTAAATCTTTCATAAGACATGATCGGTTTGTTATTGTAATTAGCATTCAGAAATGAACCTTTATTAGAGAAATGAAGTAATTGCTGATTAATAAATTGTATAATATTCGTTCGTACAGTGGATTATATTAAATAACGCCTAAACAAATATTGTTTTTGCAACTTCACTCATCATGTAATTGTGTTTGAAGAACTTCATGTAATTAAAATTAACATACACTCATTGACTGCTTGTATTTTTTTACTTTTTCGTCGGCGATATAATCTCATTCTTTGAACAGCTATAGGATCTGTCTTGTCTAAAAAATATTTTCCATTTTAATGACTTCAAAGATTTATAGAAACTACGAATAATATAGAAATAATTTCTAATTTTTTTATTTTTATTTACTTATATATATACATTATTTTCATATCTCAGTCAGGCAGATGTGCCTGGTATGAGAGATTATGAAAAACAGTTTTCATATAATATATACATTTCATTTGACTATAATATCTATTTCATTAATATAATATCTATATATAATTAAAAATATCTTTATATATAACTCTTCAGTCTTCTTTGTCTTAATTTCCTTATAGTATTTCTTTATTTTTCTTTTAAATTTATCGTCATCATTGGTCATCTTAATATCGTTTGGCAATTCGTTATATATTTTGCTAGCACTCCATATGACATTTTCTCTCAAATTCTTTTTTCTATTGTGTTCAATGTGAAAATTGTTGTGTTGTCTAGTGTAGTGTTCATGTATATCTTGATTTGTGTCTATTGTTGCACTTGTTTTAATTCTGTTATATTTCATTTTGTGTATTAATTTGCATTTCTCTATTTTAATTTAATCAATAAACTTAGGTTTAGTACGCGGTCGAAATGTTTAGTTTGTTTTATTATTCTCAAGGAACAGGGTAAAATATTGTTCTGATTCAGGCATTTTTCATTAAATCAAGATTTGTACTACGATGTACCTTTAAAATGTTTATTTATCTATGCCGATTTCCTTGTTGATACCGGTACGCATACAACGACAGATCTCTTTTAGCATACACGACTGCTAATCACAATCGACCCGTATAGAAATGATTTCATCGAGAGCGAATGACGTACAGTTCGGGCGTAACGCACTTCCGTTGCATTTGTACGGATTTACACCCTAGTCGCGCCTAAAGAAGTTTTACTTCAATAATAATTAAATCTTGTAAACGCTTCCCAAAGTGTTATTTCTAAATCTTCCATTTATTTTAGTGATGAGTTACCAGTCCAGTTAACCTTACCACGTGCCCTTCGCGAAGCCAGGAATCGCCAACAATTGTCATCTTTGGCACTTTTGGGTCAAGAATTTTGGAGGCATCCTGCTACGCCTTTATTGCCGCCTCCAAGGCCTTCGACTTCTGCTGATTCACTTGGTGAAAGTTCTTCTGCTTCGGATGCCAGCGACTACACTAGTGACAATGGTAAGAAATTTTATGGAAAGTTTAGAAATAATGAAAAAAAAGTTGTTTCTGATTATCTCATATATAAAAATGGAGCTCACGATAAAATGATCCGCTAAAACTCGGAAACGTCTAAACCGATTTGGCCAGTCTTAGTCTTGAAAAATTTATACTAATCAGTATGTTGTCGGAAAGATGGGATATTATTTCAAAATTGCGTAGAAACTTTACATTTTTAATTTGAACATTTTTGTAGAAGCGTAATTTGAATAAAACAATGGACGGTGGCTAATACGTCAAATGTCAAATGTTTTTGACAGATGATGTTCAATTACGTTTAATAGGCTATTTTACGTGAATATTATTTAAGTGTGATTAAATTGTAGTAAGTAGTTTTGTTTGTAGTTTTATTTATATACAAAAACGTTAGTAAACCAAGCCGCAAGTGTTACTAGAAACTTAAAATATCAACTTTTTTGAAATGTTAATATAAAAATGCGTTTTTTGGCGTTGTAGCACTGTTTTTTGCAAATCATATTTTTCTCAAACACGGTGCTCTAAAAGATCTCATTTGTATAATTATATACTCATTGGTACTTGTAAAACATTTTCTAGGTTATATTATTTTTTATTTGTGTTATTTAAATTCAGAACCTAAATTTGGTATCCATCAAAGGGACATTTTGTCGAATAACATTTTCTCAGGTATAATTTCCCAGAATTTATCGAAAAATAGATAGTAATATATGAAGGTCCGGGGTTAAAAAGGTCCACCACCGATGTGTCAAAAACCAGAAGCATTGTTTAACAACAATATTTGAAAGTAGAGGGAAAAAGATGTATAACCAGCTATAAACGGTAATCTTTGAAAATCCGTAATAAAAGTATTTTCTTTCGTTGGTAGTTTTTTTAGCATTAGTTAAAAATATAATTATTTCGAAAAATACCTTTAAAATTAAAATAAGACATTAAACCTGTTTGCCACCTGGCCGTTCCAAGTTACCTCGTCTATGGGTAAAAAGGTCTAGATAACAAATTTTTGAAAGACAGCAAAAAAGCACATTTCTACAATGATGAAGTAGCTGGCAGTTTTACTGAACGTAGTCAGATAACTAAAATGTGTTATTTGTTGTTATATAATTGGTTTGGTTTCTATAATATAATTAATATTTGCTCAAAGTCAAATTGGACCTTTGTGCCTCGCCCTGCTTTGCATATATACTTTTTATTAAATTTACTTTAATCCATTGAATATTACTTGAAACTTTTCGAAAATCAGGTCAAAGAAGAAATACTTAATTCATTTTCTATCTCTCCCCGCAGAAATTTGAAAATTTTGTATAAGCTCAGTAGTATTATTTACAATTATACACAAAATTCAGAATCCAAAAAGAATCTGAAAAACTTGAAACGTAATCAATAAGTCGAAAGACCAAAAAAAAAGACTTGGATTGGATTATACCATGTTTTCTGTAGAAAGTGTATGAAACTTCCAGTTTGATTGTATTGACAAAATATAGACAAACTAATGGGGTTTATTGTTTTTATAATTCCTCATTGTATATAGCATTCAAACAACACATCCTTATACATTTAAAGTATTGATATTTTTCATTCTCTAGAAATTGTTTATAATATACCTTACTTAGCGAAACAATGTTTGCCGGTTCACCTAGTTGACATATTATATAAAGACATCACTAATACTGTTTGTATTTTGATCAATATTATACTTCTGTTCAAAATTTTTGATGAACTCATTTTAAGTAATTTTGAATCTAACGTTTACCATTTTTGTAGGTAATAATAAGCACATAAACCCTCTAGAAACTAGGACACCATCACCGTTCTCTGATCCAATTGAACACCATCCTGCTCAAAGAAATCAGTTAACAACGTTTAAAGGTCCTAGGGCTCCAAGACCTACGCCACCTTGCACATTAGATCTAAATAATGTGACAACAGGTGGACATAGTAATGGATTTGATAGGTAAGTAAAACATGTCATTATTGTAAGGCAAATGACTTAAGAAATTATTATTATTGTATTTTTGTGCAGAATTCCTGGACGTGTACCACCTGTTCCGCCGCCACGATGGAGCAAACCTACAACTCCTCCAGGAACTAATGATAACTCGAGAGTTCCTGTAAGTTAATAACATTTATTTTTAACATAATCAATTACAATTACAGTTTATACTAGATGACCTGACAGACGTTGCCCTGTACCCACATATACATTTTTTAAATATCCAGTACTAATATTTACCATTCAGTTGAAAATAATAATTATTGTTTTTCGAATTACTATTAACGCCAATATATGAGAGATGTTAAATGTAGAACTGCTTCAAATAAAATGATGATTCTCAATTTCCACAGCTAACACTTTAATTGTGCTTTTAACAAATTTTAGAATATGTTCAATAAAATTGTATATTAAAAATTATACACTGCAAGTTATAGAACAAATTTATTTCCAATAGCTCAATTTATTTTAATGCCAACGGTTATACAATATTTTTCGTCATACCTGTAGATGTGGATGTATAAATGAATGATTTTTTGTTTATTCACGACTAAAACATTGATTTTCCAAATTTATCACACGAAAATTCATCTGCCTTTGTGATTTATAGCATAAAATATACGTATTGGATATTGAAGTCTTTTAAAAGGTATAACAAATTCAGAAAGAATTAATATATAGCATTCGCGGTAAAGGTACAATATCACCTGGGAATTTTCTACCCAAAATATTTGCTTTAATATTGCCTATATTTTTTTTTAATTTTTTAACTGGCTTTTAGTAATTTTAATATCTAACTTACATTTTTCTCACTAATAATTCAATATACATTATTACTTAAGTTTATATTTGAAGTGAATTAATTTGTCAAATTCTGTTCTCATGTGCTCTATTCAACCTACGATCAACAAAATTGTGCGCCCTGTGATTTTTTTTACTGTGCTCCATTTTGCATGATATTTTGGAAATAGGCTAATCTTAATCTCAAGTTCAGAAGTGAAAACAATCATATTAAAATAATTCACTATTCCAGTTGCGAAATGTAATAAAAATCACACATAGATTCCAATTAGAATAATTTGAATTCAACAAATATAAGTACAATATAAAAATATATCTCAAAATGGCATATTTTGCCTTTAGATATACGAGAAAAATTTGAGATTTAATAAGGGAACGCCCATTAATTTCGTGAACAATTTTTAAGGATTTTTTAAAGATTTTTTGTGTAACAAAAATAATAAAAGCAATAATTAGTCAGAAAAAACCCTTGAATTTCAGAGATATAATAATGAGAAATAGGTTGTTTTTTAATGGATTTTTTTCAAGAAATCATGAGTTTTTTGAAAATTTTTGTACTGAAGCTATAGTATTTTCTAGAATCCATCAAGATCTCTTAAACCAAGTTAATTCTGATGGAATACGATTATTTTTAATTTTGGTGGAAATGACACTCATAAACTGATTCAAATGAAAGAAACATTGTATGCGTCTTTTATTTGCATGATAGCTCACTCAGTTTATGTGCAGAAATACTTATTTTGAAGCTTATTTTGAGGACTTTTAAACCCCATTTTCATATCTAGCCTAATATTGTTTCTAGAACACTATAAAACAGTGATTTATTAAATTATTAATTTATATAATTTTGGTCATTTCATTATTTTTGTTAAAATGTATATTTTTGAAGATATATTAGCAAATAACGCTTTTAATTTTTCTTTAACATTTAGTTAAAAAATAATATTCTGTCAAATTGAATTTTAATAAGGGTATGTAATTACATTGAACTGACATTTCACAAACGTGAGACGCATGCGCAGAACTGCATCACTTGTCAGACGCATGTTGACTCTATTTTATTATATTATTTTAATTTTTGGCACATCTCAGCTGCTTTTCGGCAATAATAATGTAGACATTACATTTTCCTTATTTATAATCATGAATTTATTATATTTTAATATTGCCTTAGCCTATAAGTGAATGGAAATGTTTGGCAAATGACAGTTGTCATTTGTTTTGATGTCAAACCATGCCTTAAACTAGTGGGGTGGGTGGCATCGTGCCTTAAGGCAAATTGCTGAAACTTCCCGTACCGTAACGAAATGTTCAAGGAATATTGAATGTTTTCAAATAGATTATTATAAATATTGTAACATTGTCTAATATTTATAAGAATTATATAGACTGAATTGCAGAGTTGAAATTATTTGTTTAAAGTATATTAGAACTTTAGTCAGAATTAAAAATAAAATCTGAATTATTTTCGATATACAAAAATTAAAAAAAAAAAAAAAAAAAAAAAAAAATTGAACAAAATTTTTTTTCCAAAATCAATTATTTTGTTAAGACAAGCAGAAAGTTCTTTGAATCAATTGAATCGGACGCTTAGTTCTCTCAAAAACTGCCATTTTTTGTACATTTAGCTCTGTATCTCCGAAATGGCTGGGCGTGCCTTTGCGAAAAACTAATAACCCCTTCTCCCAATCATTACTAATTGAATGCTTTTTAGATCATTCAAATCGGATGCTTTGTTCTCTCAAAAACTCGAACTCTATTTTCTGCACTCTTTGCTCCTTATCTCCGTAACTGCTGGACTTGCCTTTGCCAAAAACTAATCAGCTCTTCTCCTTATCAATAGGAATCGAATGTTTTTTAAACCATTCAAATCGATTGAACCGTATGCCCGAAAACGTGGGCGAAAATTTGTATCCATACATACATACACACACACACACACACACACACACACACATCCATTTTTTCTGAAGTATGCCAAAATGTTCAGAAACCTTCAAAACGTCGAGAAATGTAAAAAATTTCAATTCCGATTTTCGGCCCATTACAATAACTTACCCTACGGGAAGTTAAAAATATTTTCAAGGGCAAACAATCATAAGCGGTTTTTTGTAATTTTTTTCATTTATTTTTACAATCTAACTATATTTCTATGAATCTAAAAATTCTAGAAAAATTCTCGAACAAACTTCAGGAAGATTCATGAAAATCCGAATTATAGTTCAGGAGGATTAACCATTCATACATAGTTACAGAAGAATTTTATATATAAGATATTATAGTATATTTTACATTTCCAGACCTTGAGCAAACGCATGTCACCCGAAGGAGAATGCTTCGCATCCACCATCAACTCCAATACATCTGGCAGCATGCGTGTTCACAAATCCAAAATCAACGCCTCTCTGATAACTTCAACGAACAATGGTATCATGTCACCAGGAACCATCAGCAATGGTGTCACTTCCCCAAATATTCTATCACCAGGAATGCTCACGTCTCCTGATTCTAACAATGGACAAGTTTCTGGTTCTACAATGAGTGGTATAAATTCTACTATCACTTCGCCTATGAGTGGGACGAGTGGCGTTACGTCTCCTATGAGTGGAGCAACATCTTATCATACGAAGAGCAGCAGTCATAATAATAATAATGGGAGCAGTGGCAGGTCGAGGAGGGGTGCTAAGGCTGCTAGGAAAGCTAGCAGACACTACCAGGTAAAGGATAATAGAATAACTAGTGGTGTATGGCATCGTGCCTTAAGGCAAATTGCTGAAACTTCCCGTACCGTAATTGAAAATACGACGCGAAACCGAGGTAGATGTAGGAATGGATGCAGAATTACACTGTTTTGTGGAAAATAAAGGGATTTTAGGGTCTAAAGGATATGAAAATTGTGTTTTTAGATAAAATTATTATTTTGTGGAAAATGCACTTTAGTGCAATAAACGGAGCGTTTTAGGTCTGAATTTTTTACGGTGCTCTGAATTGGATGAAATTTTGGAATTAGGTTCATCTTACCCTCAAGTTCAAAAGTGAAAACAATTCGGGTTGCGCCATCACCCACCGGGGGGATGACACCCCCTCTCAATTGTGTAATTACATTTTTTCAAAATAACGTTGGATATGGATAGAAGAACTAATTATAAGAAAAAATGTCTTTTATAGTTTTTCAAAAAAACTAATACTTTTCAAGTTACTGGCCACTAAAGATTCATATATTTTTGGCGTTTTTTCTTCGTTTTTTTGCAAATATCTCCTAAAATATACATTTTAACGAAACATGTAATGAACAAAATAATGTCAGTAAAAATCTTAATAAATCGGTATTACATAAAGTTTTCTAGGAAAAATATTAAAAAAGATTTGAAAGAGCAAAGTTGTTTTTTATTTCGTTCAAGATTTAATTGTTGTATTTAAAGCCATCTAGTGTCGAGGTTTTACATTTTATGCATTTCGGTGAAATTGGGTTTTATAGTGCTCAACATAAGCTTTAAAATGAGTGCTGCTACAAGTTTTTTTGCGTGTAAAATGAGTGAGCTATCAAGCAAATAAGAAGCATATACGAAGTTTTTTTTCTTTTAAATCACATAGTTTAATGAGCCATTTCCACCAGAATTAAAGTAATTCACATTCCATCTAGAATTCACTTTATTATAGACATCTTAGCTTAGGATTCTAGCAGATTCACTACTTTAGTACAAACTATGTTCAGAAAACTCACGATTTTATAAAAACTTTTTTTTCTAACGAACTTAATTCCAAATTTCATTCAATTCGAAGCACAGTAAAAAAATTCAGAGGTTATACCCTTTTTTCCTTTCCGTTTACTGCACTACTTAAGAAAGTACCACGAATATCTCTAGAATCAAGCTCCAAAAATATTTTCTAAGAATGTGTTTCTAAAAACAAAAAGTTCTTAACTAGTGGTGCCTTAAGGCAAATTACTGGAATTTTCGTGCCCTAATGAAATATTCGAAGAAATTTAAATGTTTTCAAATATATTATTATAAATACTGCAATTTTCATTATTCGTATTTTATAGACGAAGACGTTTATATATGTTTGTATGAAAAGTAAATAAATGAAACCTAATCAAGCGGAATTAGAATGGAGGACTTTGTATCAATTTTCTAAGAATTTTTTAAACTGAATTGCAAAGTTCAAATTATTGACTTTAAGTATATAAGCGAGCTTTATCATTTTTGCCAGAATTAAAATCAAAATCCGAATCATTTTAGATATTTTGAAATTAAAAATTGTATTTTTCAAAAACTAATCATTTCGTCGCACTGTCAACATAATCAAAATGTTTACTGAATCATTCGAATGAGATGATCCAATCTCTCAACTAGTGGTGTATGGCATCGTGCCTTAAGGCAAATTGCTGAAACTTCCCGTACCGTAATGGAATATTCGAGAAATTTTAAACGTTTTCAAATATATTATTACACAAT